TGTTCAGCCGGCTGTCGACCAACACCCCCAGGTCCTTTTCCGCCAGGCAGCTCTCCAGCCACTCTTCCCCAAGCCTGTAGCGCTGCATGGGGTTGTTGTGACCCAAGTGCAGGACCCAGCACTTGGCCTTGTTGAATCTCAGGTCATGACTGGTAGAAAGCTTAAAAACCCCACACCCTTACAACTGTACCCTTTTCTTTTTCACCTTTTTGTTGTCAGTGAAACCCTCCCCCCACCTCCACCCCACCCCACCCACAAGCATTAAATCGTTAAAGTTTATATTTTGTAATATAGTTATCAAACTTAAGAGAAAAAAGCACTGAATCTGATCTCCACTAACGTCACTTTGGGTATGATAAACAGACTGGCTGTCTTTTTCCTGGGTGTCCAGGAGTGATACCTTTCTTTGGCAGTTGACCTGCCACACAGAGACCTAGCCCTCCATCAATGCATCACCTCTTTTACAATTTCAGTTACTTGACACATTTTCCCAGCATCTAGATGGTTGTTGGATCACTATTTTTCAGTTAAATTCTTCAGGAAACATCATGCTGGAAAAGCAGGGTGCATACGCACGGCAGAAAAAAAAAAATCTCACTAGGAACACCAGATTAAAACTGTACATGTTGAAAAACAGATTGCTGATTCCTCCTACCTTCATAATCTGATTTTTTTGTCAGTATAATCCATCCTGACTGATGATCTTGATGCATTCCTTACGCTGGTGTTTTAGCACAGGTTAGAAGTCTGTTTTGGTTCTGAAAATACCTCTGTTAAAAGTTGTTCTACTTTTGTCTGTTGTTTCAGGTGAAGACAGTGTAGATTCTTGCCTACACCGTTAGCTTCTGCATACAGAGCCATTCAGAAACAATGACAGACTTCACTTTGGCAAGGAGAATCAGAGCTGATGGACTCTTGATATCTCTGTTAGAGCCTCACAAACACAGCTTTCTCATAAAGCATTCAAGCCTTGCAAAAAGGGTGCCTTAATCCATAAGAAAAGTCATTGTATCAAAGAAGAATTGAATTATCAATAAAAACAAAACCTAATCAAAATCCAACCAATAATATACAGTTCCCACTTTGATGAGTTTATTCTCAATCAGTTACACTTTCTGTTGAGCTTTCCATTTTTGGTATCCAAAATTCTACATCTACAGATGCAGACTATTCTACAGACATTTGATTCTGATTAAATCCTGCACTAATCTAAGGACTTATTTAAAAATAGGAACAGAGACAAAACTACTGAGATAAGAGTATCCATTCATAAATGTATACAGTATGGATGTGTCATGAGGGAAGTCAAAAACAGCCAAGGAGTTAGACTGAGCAGATATAAGGAAGCAGTTAGACCAGGTAAAGTTATAATTTATATATCCTTTGATGTGGCGACTAATCCACCTGCTGTTACAGTGATGCATAGTGCCAAACACTAGAGCAAAATAAAGACAACAGAGGAATTAAATATTGTTTTACTGTGGCTACCAATGCCAGCAAACAGCAAAAACTAATTGCATTTCTTACAAGCAAGAATATTTACTGGGACCGTGATCTTGTCAGATTTAATTACTCTAATAGCTGTTGCTTCAGGAAATCAATTATTTCCTAATACTTGAGAAAAACACAGATTTTTCTCTTCTGTTTGAAAAAAGTTCAGAGCAGTGAAATTCTAGTTTATCTTGTGAAATGTAGCACTCCAGCAAAAACTGAAGCATTCCAAGTCCAAAAGTTTCTGGAGTTTCTCTTAATATCTTCTTCTCCAGATAGCTTACGAAAATAATTAGGCCACAACTGTTCTCTTTGAACAAGAGCTCAGCCTTACACAATGAAATACAAAATAAGCTTTTAAATTCATGGCATCTGTTTGATGACTAGCGTTGTATTACTTCTGGAGCAGAAGTAATACTTTGGTCTGTAAGACCAGACTTCATTACAATGATAATAGATAGGTAGATGACAACTCCTTTGAGCTTTATATTCTACATCTCTATAGATCCTTTTTATTCTGGTAGTGGATTTTTTTCCCTGTTTATTTGCTTCTTCAAAATTTTCTCACTCCTTTTCCTTCTTTTTAGTTGTCTTTTCTTGCTTTAAATGGGACCGCACCTATTGATAAATTGTGCTCTCATAGCTTAGTTTATCAATTTGAGAAGAAATGTAAGCACAGGTTCAGCAAGCTACTTCCTTAACCGTCAGCACTCTGCTTGCTCCTTTAAGGCCAAAGCTGCTGAAGGAGTAGCAAGGAAAACTGCACACTGCCCAAAGTAGTATTCTTGCAATGCAGAACAAGATGACTTTGAGTCCTGAGGGCACTCACAACATCAAATTAACTCAATTTGTCTGGCACCTCCAAAGTTGGTGGCAACTCACTCATGAAAAGTTACAGAGCAGAAATAATAATAAAAAAACTTTCATGATTTCTCTTTTGGAAAATTGCCGTATTTAATTATTGTCCATAGCAGTATTTATTTATTATTGTAGAGGAATAAACACTTATTTTCTGTGAATTCTATATGAGACACAATTTCAAGACAGTCTGAAGATCTAATTTTTAAAATACAGCATGTAGCTCAATAAATAGAGGAAATCTGAACAAGGTCACCATAGCAATAGCAACCTGGTATGTATGTGTACATGCATTCCAAAGCAAATCTTGACTTGTCTGCAATTGCCACCTAGTGGCTAGTTAAAAACTGAAGACATCTTTTTCCTTGTCAAAAAAAACCCCAACATACAGTCATACAGACTTCTGGTAAAGGATTTCTTAGGTTTTCGTACTAGTTACTGTTTTTCAGCAGTGAACAATCATTCAAAGGTAATGCACTCCCTTCTTGGCTTACCCAGCAGCACAGAATTATCAAGGTTTTAGATGTTAGTCAAGTGGAAGACTTAGAAGTAGTTCATCACCTTTCCACAAGCTTAAGCAGCTTTCAAAGGGAATACAAGGGAAGAAGAAAAGGGCAACCAAAAATACTGACTTCTTACTTTAGACAGTCATAAGAATAGTATATTTGATTTCCTATGACTAATCCCTTTTCTGCCATATTCTTTGAAATTTAGACCTGGCAATGACCTCAGGTAACAGTGTTGTAGCAGCACATGAGAAAGGACTTGATAAATGATTTTTAAAATAACAAAAAATATTTTAGTAACTTATTGATTTGACATGTTCTGTAACAAATTATTTTGTCAAATCATGGGTTCAGCCCAGATGCTTGGTTATATACTGACAGATTACTAGCCTTTGCACAGCAAGCAAGGGAGTTTGTATATATGCAGCTCTACCCATCTTTCAAAGAAACAAAGACTGCTTTTGTTTCCCATATATAAACTGACTAAATTTAATTACTTATTTCATTTTGTTTTCCTGAAAAAAAATTATATTCAGAACACAAGCTCTGTTAAACTAATGTTCATTAATACGGGAGGCTATAAAACTCTGGGATACAGTCCAAGAAGGTATGATTTGGTTTTGGTGAAAAAACAGTGCTAAGGCATAGAGATAACAACCCTTTGAGTGGCAGTTGGAGCTAGTAAATACTGTACTAGTTGTATATTAGCTGTATATTATAGCTTTAGACTAAACAGTGTCAAGGGAACATTGCCCAAAGGTACAAGTACTAGACCTTCAAACACATGAAAAGTGACAAGATTTCCAGACTGGAGGAATTTACGTTCTAAAGAAAAGATGTAACAGTTGTTTTACAAAAGGGTAAAATTTAGCATCTGAAACAAGATTGTTCCACATACTGAGGAATTTACTGAACATATGTTAGCAGGGAATTCCTCTCAAAAGGCTCATCTGAGTGATAGTTGTTTGTACTGACTAGAAAATATGACACTAAATTGCTTTGATGCAAAGGTCCAAGAAAATGCATAGACACTCATCTCTGTTAAGACAACCTACCATTATTGTAATGAAGCCCACATCAGAGCATACTTACCTAAAAATGATTTTGTTAGCCTAGGTGACATTATAGAAGACTTTTGACAAGATGTTTTACATAAATCTGTAATGTCTGACTTGTCTCTATCCCCAGTGCTTTCCAATAAACACATTTAAAAAAAATAGAAAACACACTAACGTAAGATCAATGCAAATGTAAGACCCATACTGTCTGTCCATTTTAAGTCAACATTCATTTCAGTAGGACAGTATATGAAAACAAGTTTATAAAAATTATATTCCTAATAGTGCAGTTTCAAAAGCAGCCAAGGCATTGGTTCATTTCTGAAAAAAGGAAAGAAGAAAGGAGAAGGGGGGGGCGGGGGAAAAAAAAGGGGCGGGGGGGGAGGAAGAAAAGGAAAAGGAAAAGATGTGATCACATCCCTGCTTCCAGACTTGCTGTCTGGCTCCTTACATTGCATCAGCTCTGCCAACTCCTCCTAAAAAGCTGTGAAGGAAAGGGACAGGGGAAAAACAGGGCACTTCAAATTTGTACAGCAGCTCACCACTATTGAAATACCTTGTAGAACATCCTGTTTGTGCTGGAATCCAATTGTGACTACAGACTATACATTTTCAGAAAGAGTACTGGTAGTATCACAGATCAGCCTGTAGCCTTAATGAGGCCTGGGACAAAATGCCTGAAATTTCAGAGCTGTCACAGTAGTTTTGATAGCACGATTCTGACAGTCTGCCTTGCTTGACGTGTGCATCTGGGTATGCCAAGGATGTAAAACCTATTGGGATAGTGTTACGAAAGGGAGACAAACAGGCAGCATCTCATCCACGCTGCCCACAAACGATCCCAAAACTATTCCAAAACTACATCTGAGTTTTATCTCAGAAAGAATTAGTACATTCACTCCAGAAGACAGCCCAGAAGGGAAGTAATACTGACACTCTGTGGAGAATCAGAAAAACTGGTTTGCTAAGTTAATTGACAGAACAGACTCATTTTTGATGGCAATTGCTCAGAGGGGTCTCTACTTCAAGAAATTGTCTCTCCCATTAGAATGAAAACCACATGGGTAATTTATTATTCATATTCCAAACACTATTAGTAACACACCTTTTCTAATAAACAAGCATGCAATTCTCTATCATGCATTCACTATCAGAAAATATTACTTATATCTGTTAGAGAGACTGAGGTATATTCAATATTTCAGGTTTTGTATGGTCGCTCTTTGAGCACATTAACATTCAACATACCCTAATTAGTTTCTCTTTCAAATTACAAAAAAAAAATTCCTGCTTTCCAAATTAAAGGCTAACATGCTTCTTTGATTGACAGGTTAGGTTATTTTATTTCTTTGCCTTTTTGGACAAGCTGGTAAAAGCATTTTTCCTGGGGAGAAACAGGAATGCTTTTATTTTTTTTTTCACTTGGTCTGAGAAGGTAAAAAATTTTCTTTATCTTCAGCATAACTTTTTGTTACTAAAAGGAAGGAAATGCCCCCTGAAGCCCACCACTTCATGCTTTTTAGTTTAATGATACAAACATCTTCTGAAGTATAGAAGTGTAAACTCATTAGCTGCATTTCAGTTCTCTCTGCTGCTGAAGCCTGGAGGAAGGAAACCTTAATACAGAATATCTGATTCTAGCACTGAATTTTACATCTTAAACCAAATTATAACATCCAATTATATGCAATCTTTATATCTCGAGTTAGGATTTCTCTCTGTTCATTCTGAAAGAGGCTTGATGTTAATTGGCTTTATGCCTTTCCACCTCTGTCATGACTTATTTTTGCTTTAAAAGGTGAGGCTGGAAAGTGGCATTTCAAGGTAGGTTTTGAGAAGATAAACAAGTATTTATGAATGCAATAAATACATTTAATAGGGAAGTTATCTATGAGCAATATAATAAAGTAGTATCCTAATGTAGACAAGACTCATTTACACAAAAATTAATTAAAAATAACATATTCAAATAATAAACCTAATTAACTTCCCCTAATAGTCATAAGCAATCCATCATAGAGTGGAAAAAAAATAACTAGCCAATGGACATATTACAAGATGTTTTGACTGAAGAATTTTAGGGTTTATATTTACTTTCAGGTTTCAGATACACAGGTTCTCATGGAGTAGCAAATACACAGTTACAATGCTATAGCAGGAGACTACAATATCAAGTGTGTCCCTGTTTAACGATGTGCTACATTATTATATAACAGTTATTTGTGAAAAATGCACTAATTATGCAGCACGCATATTGTAAGAAGAAACCAAATGAGAAGAAATGTAGTGCATAGTTAAACTAAAATAGATGTATACATGGAGAGCCACTGAAGTAAAGTTCTACCAAGAAACCCCCTCCAAGTTGCTGCAACACAGAAGTCAAAAATTCACGTGAATAAGCTTATCTATAGAGAGAAACCCACATAAAGCCAAAAATATACATCATCCATACATCAGATGTGGATTTGTCTGAAAGAGCATCACAGAAGAGTTTAGTTAAAAAAGAAATCCTGCTCTGTACCTAGTGTCTGGTCATTTCCCCTTAAACCTATGAGTAAATCCCTCCTGGACTCCATTTAATGCCTTAAAGAAAAGAGGACAGAGAGATCCATTACCTTTACAAAACAAATGAAAGATAAAGAAACCCTTGTTTGGAATCCCATCTCCCACAACCACTGCAGCAAATGGGATGTTTTTTCTGTTTGAATTCTCACTTTATCTGATTTACACTTATATTTTTGCTTTAATCACTCCTTAAAGCATTTTAAAACACAGTTAAAAATAAACTACCTCAGCAAATATTCAGCTAAAATTTGACATAACATCATAGTAACTAATATCTACAATATTTATGATTTCTAGCAAGAATCTTCCCAATCCTTTAACACTTAGTAAAGTGACTGGGCACTGCAGTATATCTTCTATATCTATTCAGAAACAGATGGTATAAGTTCCATAAACATTTCACACAAAAAAAAGCCATGCCAACATTTTTCCTTATAAGTAAAAGCCAGCCTTAGGCAACCCTGGATGCTAACTTTAGCAGCATTATTTTGGGGAAAAACAACCTTTAAGAAAAGTAGTTTTCATGTCATTTTTAGTATGATGAGCCAGAGGTCACCTTGTGTTGTATGTGGTTGTTCAAGACAGCTGTCTTTTCAGCTCTGACTTGTAAATGCCTGTGCATCACATCAGAACATTTAGCAAACTGTGACCTTCATGATCAATCTTTTCCATTCTATCCCATCACTTTCCCCCATCTGGGCGTGTGAGAAGCGGGAGCAGCAGTAACACTCCTCCATTCCATTGTTAATTCAGAATCCTAGACACTTTTTCACTCAGTAAAAAGCACAAGCACTTCCTATAAGTTGTTTGATGACAAATTGTATGGAAATATGTGCCATGAGTATAGGAAGATATAAATGAAACCTGAACTGTGAAGACAGGTAAAAGAAGAGCTAAAGAAGTCACCAGTACTGTGAGGATGAGAACCTCCCAGGACAGGTTGCTGCTCCAAAAGTCACCATACCAGTCAGGACTTGCAAGGAACCACATGAGTCCACCCATGCAAAGTGGTCACAGTATAACCGTTATGTCTAACATCTCTGCTCCTAGAGCTGTGGAAGACCATGGCCATTGTCCCAAGATTGCAGAAAGCTTCTAACGCCATTTGCACCCATGAGGCTTAAGGCTAGTACCTGCACAGACAGATAAGCAGTACTCAAACCTGCACAGATAAGAACTGACAATACTTTTGGGCACAAGTTAAAAGAACAACGGCCTCGTGGATTCCCTCTAGCCCTCATGAGCCAAATCCCACTTCTGCATCTATTCCCCCTCTCCCGCAGGGCCAGAGGTCAGGTCTTTGCTAAGAAAGGCCATGATTAAACCAAACAGAATATTTCCGCAGGTAGGTAGTCATTACTTTTCTACTGTTATTTCTCTGCCTATGCCTTGACTTGAGCCCCTGAAGCAGTCTGCAACCCTGTCGCCTCCAACACCAGGTCCTGCACACTCATCCACGCAGCTATGGGCTGCGACAGAATTGGAACACAAAAGGCCTCACCAGTCCCTACAGTCAAAGGTAGGGATTAACGCTTCCTAAACCCCAAGTAAAATGGTATAATAAAATATATTCAAGTATGCCCTTAAAAAGGCCACTTTGGAAAAACAAACAAACAAAACAACAAAAAAACAAACCAAAAAACCCCCCAAGCATTTAGCAGTCCAGAAAGTCAAATAAAACACATTCCATCCACAAGTATGTACATGGTGATCATTACAGCCAAAAACAAGAGAGGAAGCACAAAGAGCCCAAGTGTCACAACCATATAAGCATCTGGCAAGACTTCCAGAGCAACAGCATAGCCAGCTTAGCCCTTTGCTGCTATGAGGCCTGAAGCCAAATTCCAGAAGAAAAGAGCTTCCTTTTTTTCCATAATCCCCAGGGTACCTTTCAGGGCCCACCGATCCTTTACAAGGAGTGGTTCATGAACACCAGGAATTCATCACAAAGAAGTATTCGGTGGAAGTCTAGAGGGCGCATGCATGGCTCACAATTCTCTACTTCAAGTAATAATATTAAATTCTGATCCACAGAAAACAGAAAATATTCATAAGAATAAATGTTCTAGAGTAAAACACCCATTTAATAAGCTTTTTCTGTCCACCATTTACATACAGTATGGCAACTGCTAGACTTAGATGAAAACGAATATTTCATGTGTTAAAAATACTACATATTTTATATAAATAATATTAATTTTTAATTCTAATTAAAACATAAATCTTCTAATAGGCTCACTTACTGGATGCTTGGCTGAAAGTCTGCCAGTCACAGTTCCTGTCTGATTCCATGTAGAGGAAATAAATCCCTGTAGTCAAGTAAAGTAAAAATCCCCAAAAAGAAAAGGATGAAGACGTACATCTAAATTTTATTTAATGTAAGTATCAGTAATAAAAACTCACTGCAATCAGGACTACAGAATAAAAAAAAATGCTTTATAATTTTCCATATATAAAAGTTCTTAAACTGTAAACGCTGCAATCATTTCACATCCTTTTACGATTTATTTGAAATATCATATTTTACAGGCTACTTTTAATATTTCTACCTTTCTCATGCACGTTCGTAGTCCATCCACATAAGTTGATTTCATCTTATGAACCTAAATTACGTAAAAGTTTAGATAAATGCTTATTTATAAAAGTAAGAGAATTTTCAAATTAAAGTTCTTAATTTCCAAACGCATATTAATTTGTTTTGTAGACTTTTTTAAAAAGAGAGTTTTATCTTAGTAAATAATGGATGTGTACTCACTAATAGCTTGACCTATTAGCATAAGTTAGGTAAGTGCTCAGTCATACCCTAAAGCCAGGTCTTTGCAGATACTAGTAAATGAGCTACTGGAATTTACTCTTTTACATCTTATATCCCCAGGTCAACAAACTACACAGAAAAGCCACACAAAAAAACCCCCACACTTTTTTCTTTTAAATCTTGGAAACTCATCCACTGAAAACCCAAACATTAAGTGTGAGAGCAGATTAACTAGGTCGTTTTGGATTTTCAGGAAACTCATCACCTAAAAAACCCCCATAACTAGTTATCTCCTTTGCTTTCTGCAGAGTATTTCTTCAGAACTCAAAAAATAAATGTTTTGCCCTAAAAGTGCACTTTATTGCACTAGACAAATTTAACAGTGAAGTTTTCCAATTGTTTTTGCAAGAGTTGTTTGCTAGCTATAATCTAACATAGCGCAAAACAGAAGTATAAATATTAAATCTAAAAACTCTTAAGAATACCTATAACTTCAAAGTTTAAATGAATATTTGAGTGAACTTACATTACAGCCAACTTTTTTTTATTTATTTAGCTGTGAATATGTTATCTTTCTTGCTAATTTTGCTTCAGTGCAACTACATTATGTGACAAATATCAGCTCACCTGACGGTATTCTAAAATTATCTTAGGCAAAGGATGAAGATCTTTCAACTTGTTTAGCTGCAAAATAAAGAATGTGAATTACTGGTATACTTTTCTGTTAGGTTATATAATTTAAAAATCTTAAGAGAATAAGTTTTGGAGGAAAAAATTTTCTCACCAAGCTGAATGGACAAAATACTGGCTAAATAACGTCCTTCAAGCAATCTCACCCTAGGCCCAAGGAAGCCTTCATTCTTTCCTGCCTTCAGCAG